CAGTGACTTTGGGTCAAAATCAAATACCTTCTGCAAACAAAAATCCACATTTATTGTTCCCCCTTATCAATTCTGCTTTGTATTTCCTCAAAAATTCGAGCAAATTTGTCAAACATGATTTTCACAAAACCATATTAATTCTACTTGATTGTGTTATGCTTTTCTAACTGCCCTGTAAATGTTTCTTCTTTAATAAGATACTAGCATTTTCTAAACAGCAGATGTTAGGCTGATTGGTCTGTAAAGGTTTGGTGGGGGGGATGTCACATTAGTGGTTATCAAGGCACCATAACTGGCCCAGAATCAAGTTAAGTTCAGGAATATTTCAACAATGCCTCCACTATTTCCATCACCTTCTTTAAAACCCTTGGATGCCAGCCATAAGCTCCTGGTAACTTGTCTGCCTTTAGTCCCATTAGTCCGTCCTATCAAACAAGGTATTGGTGACTTTATAAACACAGTGCTAAATCGCTTCTTGAGATATCTTGTCAATGTCCCCAGTGGATCCCTGTAAGGTGTCAAAAATGTAGAAGTTCAATGCAATAGACATTTTCACCCCACTGGTATTAGGTACCCATCCAATCCTATAGTTTGCAGGTTGTCCTGTAGTATCACCCAGTGGTTGGTGATGGCCCCTCTTCACAGCCTCCTGTGCAATTCTATGGAACCCTATTCTCCCAATACACTCTCTGTTCCAGCAGTCTCTATTAAATTTTGTTAATGAATGTAACATATTTTAATGTGACTCGAGAAAGCCCTGGGGTATGGGCATGATCCGTCTTCAGTCTTGCTCCTGCTGCGCTTCACTTTTTATCCTTTTGAGGCCTTTCAGTTCTAGGTTGAACATGTTGACACTGCTGCGCTAACACTGGTACCTCATGAAATCTGTTTGTACTGCCTCTGTACTTACTGATTGGTTATAACTCAGGGCCCAGAAAGGCTGAGCACCATATCTGTTTCATTGCACTTTTACTCACAAATGCACTTGTACAGGTAGTTCTGCTATAACATATGTTTCATTAACATGAATTGGCTGTAATATGATTGACATATAGTGGATGCTGTTTGGATAACGTGAACTTTCTGCTGTACAAGCATTGCGATTTCCCTATAACGCGATTTTGTATAGCTCGAGGTCACACAAAAATGCAACTATCGCGTTATAAGAGAACTATCTGTATGGAATGTCCTCCAGTAGATTCCAAACCTGGCTAATACACTAGCTGCCTGAGGCACTGCGCATCAGCTTGCCTTGGTGAGAGGGTGCAACCAATATTGGGCACCCCTCAGTTCTTCAGAACTGTCTTTCATCTCCTCTGAGCTACGCCTCAACTTGGTGATTGTGATGGTCTGTTTATCCCCTTACACAGCAGTTTCTATTCCAATGGAAGGCAGCTCCATAATGGGTGACCTTTGTCTCAGAGTCTAAGGCCCCACAAAAATTCCATAAATTTTGAATTAGAATTTAGAATTAGATTTTACTGACACACGTATTCATGTATAGGAATACAGAAGTATCACGAAAAGTTTTCAAAGTTGTCATTCACCAGTGCCATATTGGTTACAAAACCATAATTTAAGAAAAAAACAGTAATTTTAAAAACGCAAGAGCAAACATAAGAGAAAACATGCCAAAAGGCAAGAAAAAAAAGTCCAGATCTTAAAGAAAGAAAAAATCTAAATCTTGAAGTCCTTCGTCTGGAGTTGTGGAGAGCCTCCAAGTCTTGAATTGGTCACCAGGAGAAACTATATTATTGCTGCTGTGGTTGCCGCCACCACCTCAGTTCGACAAGAGGCAATTTGCCACGGCCTCAGATCGACAGGAAGAGATTTTCCGTCATCCCGATCACTGGGAGGGAGGGAGGTCATGACCTTTTTGAATGTTCCACACCAGATAGGCCATGATCCCCATGCATTACACATTTCATTTGCACTAAAATCCATTCAGTTGCAATAAATGAGATACAAATGAGCACTTCTTTAATAAACTCAATTGCCTTCCGGCCAGTTCCATCAGCTTTGTCACATGCTGCCTCCTCACCATTGGAATAATGCAGCAGAGTTGCCATCATGGGCTTCCTCTGACACAGTACCTCTTGAGCAATTCTATGGAACCCCATCCTTCTGGGTCATTCTCTGCCCCGGCAGTGTCTATTACATTTTGTCAGTGAGTGTGGTGTCTGTCAATTTCTGTGACAGCCTAGAAAAATACTTATTGCTTTTTGCCTTGGAAGAAACATCTTGAATGTCTAACAGGCCATTTGTTTAACCACATTTTGTCTCCACAAGGTTTTGTTATAGAATCATAGAGTTGTTTTTTAAACTTATATGAATACATTTTCTTTTATAGAGACAACATGTAATTGTAAAATTTTTTGAAATATCTTATGGAAACATTGTCATATATCAAGAAACACAACAATGATTTCCAATGGGAATCCCTTATTTGAAGTGTTGGGAAGAAAGGTTTCGGGCCACTAAATGTCAGGGAGATTAAATTGTATGAGAAATGCTTGGTATTGTTGCGAAGTTGGGTAGAGTACTTGTGGATCAGGAGGCAGGATGTTAGAATTTGTCTTTGTAAAATGCTAGGGAGGAAAGCATTGCATGGTTCCTTTAACTGATCATGTGCTTTTTCTGTGCATAGAGATTTAAAATAGATGTCTATGAGCAGCAGCTTGTAAGTTTGCAAGTACATAGACAGCACCCGAATTGAAATATTCATATTGAAAGGCCATACAACTAGCAGGGCAAGCAACAGTTTTTACCAAGACAACAGGCTTTTGAATTTAGCCAATGAGTTTGAAACAGGTACTTAGATACCAAAAACCTATTAAAGTCTGATGGTTTTGACAACATAGGACAAATCCTATTGTAAGAAATATTGACATGTTATCAAGGGTACAAAGAGAAGGGGGCAATTGGACAAAGATACCAGAGCTAATAGCCCTCAGCTCTCAAGAGCAAATCGCTGGCTCTCACAGCCTCCCCTATGTCTTAGAGAAAGCGCCATCTAAATAACAACAGTATCAATGGCACAACTAGGTAATATTCCTGACAGAAGATTCAACAGAAATGGCATTCCTGACGGAAGAATTGACGGAGAAGGCACAGGACATTCCAAAAGACACGTAACCTGACTGTAATTTCAAGAGACTACTTTTTTTTTACATAAGTAAGATTTTTATTTATTGGAATAACGTACCGTTAAAATCTTACTTTATTCAGGAATAGTTATCAGTTAGAAGGGATTTATTCAGTTTGACATAGTTTAGCTAATTTGTTCACTGTTAGAGTTAGATAACTAAATTATTACTTGTTGATTTTAAAGTGAGTGTCAGGGATTTATTTTGTTTAATGACTAGAAGTTGCTGAAAGGCAGGTTACACCACTATTCACACTCCTTTTACAGATTATCGGGCAAAATGCTCTTTGGGTGTTTCGGCTTTAGTTCTCAGCAGGGTGTCACCCTCCATTTTATAACAGTATACCAGCACCTGTACATCTGTATCTGCACAGGTAACCAAGATCTGAAAATGATATGGAATGATATATGATATGGATACACCCAGGAATTTGGGCATTCTTAGTCAATTATCATTTTGTCAGAATATGTAAAAGTGCTTTCACTTTTGGACATGACTTACACCAATTGCAGAAAAAAATCACTCTCAAGGTACTACAACAGCAGGAAAATACAGTAAAATATTCCTGACAACACCACTCCTCTGAATCCTATTCTTCTCTCTCTCCCCGAGACTGGCAGACACTCATTGCCAGGTCAATAACAAGCCCCCATCATGGGTTAGATACAGCTGTAGGAAAATCAAGGAGCATTTCAGATCTCTTCTAGAATGAGTTATTATGTAAAGAGTTAATTTATTATGCAGAAGGACCCACAACTGCACAGGTTCAGTTTACAGTTGTATGAACAGCAAACAGCTGTTTGTAAATCCAACCAGACCAAAAAACAGGTTTTAAAGTAAAGAATCATTAAATTTTTGAGAACTGTTCATTGCACTTATGAATCTACCACAGCAAATGTTAGCTATATTCAAGCATACAACAATATCAGTACATATAAACATTGTATTCTGTTGGGGGTCTGTGCCTTGATACGAATTTCAGATTGAGAAAATGTTAATTTCCCTTTTTGATAGTAAGAAAGAATCAAACTTGACAATAGCATATGTAACAAATTCTTTAACGATCAAGACAGCACAATGATCTCTGTGTGGTCAGTTAATAATTAAATACTTATTCAGAATTCAAATATTATTGATGCAACAAACAATTATTTATGACTGTTCAAAGCTCCCAAATGCTGCCAATCATTATATAGAATCTAGGAATTCACATCAAGGAGCTAGTTCTAAGTTATTACAGAATCATTTAATGAACATTAACCTTGAAGGAGTTGCCTTGTACGTAGTAAGATTGTTCATTAATGACGTGTGATTTTTAAAATAACTTTGAGAAATTGCTTGAAAAACATGCACAGCAACGTTTCAGGGAGGATCAACTTCATCTACAGATTGCAGCGTGACGACAAAACAAAATTTTCACAGATGTTAAGAGTTTATTTGGAAGAAGAATCCCCACCATAATTTATAACATTTGTTGCTTAATCAGTACTACCATTATAAATAATCTGTATAAACTTCAGTATTGTTGAGAACAAGGCACAGTTTACATACTGCAAAAATAACAGCATTCTAATCTCAGATACCAAGTATTTTAGAAATTCCACCAAATTGTTTCTACAACATTAGGGCATACTTTTGTGTGTCTATTTTGTCTCCCTTAATTTTGTACGAATAAACTAATTGGAAGCCATGTCAATCAATTGCTAAATACTGAAGTCCAGTAACATGCTTTGCCAATTTTCTCTGTTTTTTATATCTTCATAATTTTCTTTAGTTATGCAAAATTACTTACATAACAGTCAATGAAGAAAAATTGCTCAGAATTTCATGCACCCCTTGATGTCAGTAGCTTACCATCTGGAGGGGCTGACAGGAGCTTTTGTAGTAACTGCAACCTCTAAGCTGGAGGTGTGGTGAGATGTTGCCTGAGCCTTTCTGTCCCCTGAACTGCAAAAAAGTTTGACTCACTCTCACAATATTTCTTCTGGGCCTGGCAAACTGCCATGTTCCAGCAGAATTGCATACAGCCATAAGGGAGGCATATCTCAAAGAGAAAGACTCTGAATTTGTTTTATTTAAAAGCTGTTCCATGACTTGTGAATCCAACAAGCTGATTATTTTTAAGAATATCAGATTGACAATCCACATGGTAACAACAGCTACACAGGTAAAAACTAAATATTTCAAAACTTTTGTTATCTGTTTCTCTCCAAGATAATTTTGGAATTAACTGTTATATTTTTCCATACCCTCTATGTTTTTCCGTTACTTAAATAATTTTAAAAATAGCTTATTGATATGTCACTGTATTAGACATCCAAACAAAAACTCTTCCATAATACAAACTCTCCTATAAGATCATTAACAGTAATACCTGCTATATACCAAAGTAGCTTTAGAAAAGTGAATGCAAAATTAAAAAGGCGTAAACAATTAATCTGTTGAGTAATTCTGAAGGAAAAGTAGTTTAACAGTTTGTTTTTTTTTGTTTCTGAGCCTATAATGTAACAGTGACCTCTAGAGGAACTGGATTGTAGCTTTGTAAAAAATCAACATAAAACATGATCAGGTAAAATTTGATCACTTCTGAAAACCAAAGTAGGAATCACAAAGTGCCATTAACTGACATCCATTAACAACAACACAAGCAACAAGTTAACTCTGTGCTGCCTATTCATTTCAATGAGTTCTCAAGCACAGCATATTTCATGATTCATTTGAAAGTAATGGAGCCGTTTGAGAAAGTATCTAATAAGACATAGGAGGGCTTTTACAATAAGGGCTTTGAGTATGAAAATGATGAAGTTATGACAAACCTTTAATAAATACTGCTCTGATCTCAACTAGATCTTGTCTCTAGTTTTAGGCACAATATTTTTGCAAGAATGCAAAGGAATTAGAAAGGATGTAGGAAAGATTCATGAGAACAGTTCCTGGGATGAGGAACATCAGTCCCGTAAATATTATGGAAAAGCCAGGACGATACCTGGAGAAGATTAAAAGATTTAATAAAGGTTTTCAAAAGCATGAGGAGTTTGGACAGAGTTTACAGGGGAGACACTATTTTCATTGGAGGAAGGATCAAGAACAAGAAGACACCAATTGGAGATGATTGGCAAAAGAAGCTACATGAGGAAAAACCTATAACAGTGATTAAGATATGGTATGCATCGCCTGAAAGTGTGGTACAGGCAGATTCAATTAATGTCTTTGAAAGGAAGTGGATAATTAAATGAAGAGAAATACATTTGCACAGTACAGTCAAAAAGGCATTGGGTAAGTTACTCTTTCAGAGAGCTGGCACACAAATGATGGGCCAGATGATCATTCTACTATGCTACTATTCTATGAGCTGAGCTGCCAAGAACTCAGCTGAGTACTTCAATGAGTCAACCTGCAGATTACTGTTTATGCAAAATGCAGATGACACCAAAATTGGGGGTGCAGTGGACAACGAAGATTATCTCAGAGTACAATGGCATCTTGATTAGATGGGACAATGGGCCGAGGAGTGGCAGATGAACTTTAATTTAGATAAATGTGAGATGCTGCATTTTGGAAAGGCAAATCAGGGCAGGACTTATAAACTTAATGGTAAGGTCCTGGGGAGTGTTGCCAAACAAAGAGATTTTGGAGTGCAGGGTCATTGTTCCTTGAATGTGGAGTCTCAGATAGACAGGGCAGTAAAGAAGGCGTTTGGTATGTTTGCCTTTATTGGTCAGTGCACTGAATATAGGAATTGGGAGCTCATGTCGCAGCTGTACAAGCCATTGGTTTTAGGCCACTTTTGGAATACTGCATTCAGTTCTGGTCTCCGTGCTATAGGAACGATGTTGTGAAACTTGAAAGGGTTCAGAAAAGATTTACAAGGAAATTGCCTGGGTTGGAGGGTTTGAGCTATAGGGAGAGACTGAATAGACTGGGGCTATTTTGCCTGGAGTGTCAGAGGCTGAGGGGTAACCTTATAGAGTTTTATAAAATCATGAGGGGCATGGATAGAGTGAATAGACAATGGGGGAGTCCAAAACTACAGGGTAGACATAAGGTGAGAGGGGAAAGATTTAAAGGGGACCTAAGGGGCAACTTTTCCATGCAAAGGGTGATGTATGTATGGAATGAGATGCCAGAGGAAGTGGTGGAGGCTGGTACAATTACAACATTTAAAAGGCATCTGGATGGGTATATGAATGGGAAGGCTTTAAAGGGATATGGGCCAAATGCTGGCAAATGGGACTAGATTCATTTAGCATATCTGGTCGGCATGGACGAGTTGGACCGAAGGTCTGTTTCAATGCTGTACAGCTCAATGACTCTAAATGCACAGTGCTCTTTGAACCCTGTCAAAAAGCCTGTAGCCAATGTCAGAACATGGAAGAGTCCAACACCAACTTGGCACTCAAACATTCCAGTGTGAAAGTGGTGTCCACATCCATCCGCAGACTTGGAGACCCAAACATCTTTCAGCATCTAATGATCAAAGTAACGATTTCACTGCAGCACAAGCAATAGTCACCTGACAGCTGCAATGAAACCTTAGATTGCTCATGTGCCATCATGCAAGCTCAATCTGCTAATATGATGACAATGGATTAGTGTGCAATTAGATTTACAGAATGTCACAGCCAGTTGTTATGGCATCCAAGCAATCTATCCCCGATACATTTGTTGAATTGCCAATGTATCACACCAGGAGATAAATCTGATGTCCTCTCTCAGGATAAACAGCATTTGTCTTCCCATCCATGCCACTTTGTCAATGTCCTTGCTATTGTCTATCAAACAGCCAGCCAAAACTATTACCATCGAAGATAGTGTAATCACAGAGAAGCCTTCTAAGGCCTGAGGTTCTTAAGATCATTCTGCAAGGGAATATACTTCCACAGACAGTCAGCAGCCTTCAACCAGCCATATTGCAGCCAATGGGCTGACAGTACAAAGTAATACAGGAGAGGCAAAGTTGTGCAAAAACTTGACACACAACACTGTCAACCAACCTCTCCATCATGTAAGTGGCAGCTAACTTCACAAGAACCATGTGGACCCAGCTACGATTCAGCATCAGATGGGTAATGTGTCAGTTTCCATTGCATCGCACCATAAGCACAGACCAAAGACAAGGACGCCCAACTTGCTTCAAGGAAAGCACAGACAGCTCTCATTCAGGCTCAAACTGCTGCCATCATAGGCACAGATAATGTAGTTTAAAGTGGCTTGCAGAGTTTCACAGAAGTAGAGCAATCCTTCCTCTAATTTCATGCTAAAGTCACTGAGATACCATCCCAGCCTCTGCGGTAGACAAATGCAAAGATTGCCACACTCGGAGTAAAGAATTACTCCTCATGTTGATCTTAAACGCCACATCTTTTTTTTAAATTGTGGCCCCTGTTTCTAGATTCCCCAAACAGAGGAAATATCTTACCTACACCTTCCCTGTCTATCCCTTTAAGTATTCTGAAGATTTCAAACAGATAAACCCTCATTCTCCGAATCTGTACAGAATATAGAATCAGATTGTCCAGCCCCTCTTCAAGAACAGTCCCACCATCCTGTGAACAAGTCTGATGAACCTTTGTTGCACTTCTTCAATGGCAAAATATCTTTCCTGAGATAAAGAGACCAAAAGAACACAGTGTGTGTGGTCTAACCAAGCTCCTATACAACTGAAGGGATACTTTACTCGTCCTGCACTCAAATCATCTTGCAGTAAAGGTTACCATTCCACTAGCCTTCCTAATAGCTTGCTCCACATTTATTTCCTTCAGAGATTTACTGAAAGGAAAGCAAGTCCCTTTAGGACATCTACACTTTACAACAATTAAGAAATACTCTGCACATCTGTTCTTCCCAGAGAAGTGGAATAACTTTACATTTTTGCACATTTTATTCCACATACCGTGTTCTTGCCTATTCATTAAGTCTCTCCAAATCCTCCTGAAAATAGTTTACATCTTCTTTTAAACACTCATTCCTGCTTAGCACTGCATAATGTACAAATTTGTTAATATTACATTCGATCCCCATATCCAAATTATTGATAAAAATTGTGAACAGCAGCTTTTGTTGCACTTAAATAGTCAATTTGCCAATACAAAAATGACCATTTATTCCTAATCTCCAATTTCTGTCTGTTAGCCAATCCTTTATCCATGTCAAAACATTACTTCTTATACATGTGTGCTAATTTTGTTAACGAATCTCCTGTGGGAACCTTATTAAAAGCCTTCTAAAAATTCAAATTTACTCCATCCATCAACTCCCCTTTATTAGTTTTGCTAGAAACATTCCCAAAAGACTCCAAGAAATTTGTCAAACACAATTTTTCATTCACGAATCCATGCTGACTATGCCCAATCAGTTCATTTTTATCCAAATACCCATTAATCACATCTTTCATAATAGACGTTAGCATTTTCCCTACTGCTGATGTAAGGCTGACAAGTTGGTAGTTTTTTTTCTCTTTTCATTCTAAAATAGTGAGGTGACTTCGCAAGCTTCCAATCTACAAAAATCATTAGAAAATCTATGAAACTTTGGAGATGATTACCAATGCATCAACTATCCTTACAGCACCTTTTCTTTAAAACTCCAGGATGTAAATTATCAGATCCCAGTGACTTACCAACTTTGCAGCCCCATTAATGTCTTCATTCAACCTTATTACTTACACCAATTTCCTTCAACTATTTATTCTCTCTGGTTACTTGGATCTCTTATCATGGGAGGTTTCTTGAATATTCCTCAGTGGAAACAGACACAAAATAATCATTTAACTTCTCTGCCATTTCTCTATTCCCCATTATAAATTCTCCTAACTCTGCTTTAAATGGAAATACACTTGTCTTAACTAAATGTTTCTTCTTACGCACCTGTACAAGTTTTTACAGTAATTTTTATATATTTTCCTGGACAGCCAATGTGACACCACTGTTCAAAAAAGGAGGT